CGTGCTGGGTTAGGCTCAGCGAGGAGCTTATGACTTCAAAAAAAATATCACCAGAGCAGAAGAAAACTAGCTTCATAAGCTCTGCAACTCACAGGAATGCGTGGTTGTCTTCATGGTGACTGTTCATCTTCCACTGAGAAGGGATCCCTGGGAGCATGTGAAGTGGAATGCTGTCATGCCACGCATCAATCTGCAGCCCAGCACTGTGCTCAGGCACGTCTCCAGCCAAACTGCAGAAAATTCCTCTCCCTCTGGCCAGGGAGAGTTTCTTTCAGCGCTGGTGACGCCATTCTCCCTCCTGCAGGGATTTCAGCACAATGTCACCCAGAGAGCAAGAAACTGGGGGGAGAGGCCAGGCTGTCCTCCCGCTGCTGGTTGTGGGGAGTGTCTAGGCAGTAAGCACAGGAGGGAGGCTTTGCAGTTCCTGGACAGGAGATGTAGCTGGCACCCTTAGGGATGGTGGAAGAGTGGTACGTGAAGCACAAGGTCCAGGAGCTTGGTGAGGCCATCCTAGTGCAAAGTTGTTGGATGTACATGAAAGTGAAAGACACACATCTGAAAATGCACAAACACATCTGTGCACACACAGTTTGGTCATATTGCAAGAGCAGAAAGCAGGAGCCTGCCTCCATGCACTGCACCCATCTCTCCCTGTGACAGAGGTGCCTTCTCCCCTGGCTGAACACAGCCGTGTTAACCAATACAGTGAACCAACCCTATCGAACTCAGCTACCTGATGATGGGAGGAGAAGGAAACCCAGAAGTATTTTTGGGTAAGAGAAAGAATTGGACCAGCCCAGTCCTTTTGGATGCCCCTAGCCCACAGGCATCCCAGCTGACGAGGGCTGGGCTCATTAAAAAACTGGGGGGAGACATCCATGCAATTACACCCTTCTGTCTCAATTCAGCGGAGGAAAACAGGGCAAACACCATGCTGCTAAGGCAGGTGACACACAACCCCACTGCCGTGAACAGCACCACGCAATAGTCGGAGTGCTGCAGCACCATCTCCCCTCCCCGCAGAGCTCACAAGCCCAGGACCCCACAATGGCATGAGGAGGGACATGACTGCCAGCACCCCTAAATCCACAGAAACACAGGAAGATATGGGGTAGGAAGGGACCTCTGGAGATCTTCTAGTCCAACCCCCAAATCCAGCAGTGCCCTTTCACTCCTACAAGCATGTGGGGAAGGAGTCAAACAATGCAGAATGTCAAATGAGAACATCAGCTCAGAGTGGAGGCTGTTCTCTAGAAAGCTTTTTGCCTGCAAAGAAAATACTTTGCTATTTTGCAATAAATAGCCCTACTGCTTTATGGTTTGAAAATTACTGTAATAGGAAAAGCCCTTCCAAGGAGCACCTCCCTCTCCTTCACCCCACACCCCTACTCCATCATTTGGACAGAGAATCAGCCCGTTCTCAGGCAAAGCTAAACCAAAGAGAATTGCACATATTATTAACTACCCTTAAGGGCAGAACCAGTGGCACTAAGCCATGTGTATGGCTCCCAGCACACACAGCACATTGCTCGCTTGTAACAGTGGCATTTCCCCAGGTTCTGGTCCCCAGTGATGTCCCTGCAGGTACGGAGTGAATGAAACCAGCTGATGCTGTTGCTCAGTCGTGCAGACTGGATTTGTCGCACATCAGCTTCCCGTGATTTGGCTCCCTTGCTGGCACCTGGCTTTGCCTGCTAGGCAAAAGCCTGGACTCAGGGACTATCACATTTCTGCTCCCATATGATCAAACCATATCTTAACCTTTTCTTGGGTAACATAAATAGGTCATATTCCTGGAATCTGCTAGACAGAGAGATTCCAGGTTGTTAACTTATTTTTCCATTGCATTTCTTTACCCCTCAAGCTGCATCTCCAAGCATTACTACCAAATCTGAACACCGCAATTTCAATAACATCTGTAGAAATACTAAAGGTTGATTAGTCTCCCATTTACTGCTTCTCAAGCCTTTTTTTAGCCCTTTTACAGGTACAACTTGGTAAGGACATTTCTCCGCAGCTGTCATCAGCACAGAATCATCTCACGCACACTGTTTCACTGCTTCCTTGACAGTCTCTCACCTGACTAATGTGTCCCACAGTCTTCATTCCCAGATGCATGCGGTTATTAGAGACATACTACCCCATCTTATGGGAGGAAATAAGAGAGAGAAAACAAGAGAGCAAGCAAGACTGCTTTGAAGCAGGGCTATGGCTGCTTCATTGTTTGTTGCAAGCTGTCTTTGTGGTACATGCAATAAATAAACACATATGATTTTAAAACTCCAGTGTGCTTCTGTTATTTTTCCACACCATAGAAAAGATCCTGAAACCAAGAACTGCTTTATGTGTCACCCTGTAACAAACCCAGGTGCCAAGGGAGGTCCACAGCCAGCTGGGATTATAAAGGCAGCCAATATAGACATCAGCTGATCCTGCTTTTTCCATCAAAGGAGGGGCACTGCTCAATGTTTCTGCACTCAAGTGGTCCCTGGTATCAAGTAGGCTTTGTATTAGTCTTCAACCAACATCGCAGTTGAGGAGGTCTACCCCTGGCCACAGTCAGGACAGCCAATGTAAGCCTCTAAATGCGATCTGAGAATGCAATGGGCTATGCATAGCTTTTAGTTTGGCCAACACTACAGTCAGTCAAGGTTTTGAAAACCGAAGTTTGCAAGAGATTCATCATATTAGTTTTCTGGAGATTTTCAACTATCAGAAGGTACTGAAGTTTTTAAACCACCTTTAAGTGTCTCTGTCCAGCCCTGTGTAATGACGTCTCATAGGCATTTGCCATAAGCCAAGTCCTACACATGCACAACACACATGCCAACTGTACTTTCCTTACTACGTGCTGCATAACCTGTATTTTCTTTTCCAGCCTTCTTCAGATAAACAATGGTTTCTGATGCATATTGGAAATGCTGATATTGTAGGCATCTGAACTGCATGGATGCTGGAGGTGGACAGAGTAAGGGCTGGTGGGAATGAGAAGTTCAGGGTTTGGAGGCAATTGTGCAACACGACTGCTGAGTTTCTGATCTGCATTTGCTGCTTGCACAGGTCATCAGCACTGGACAGTTAATGCTATCTGGGGCCACATCCCCTGTATTTTCTCTCTTTCCCTCTCACTAAGGGCTGTTTACCCAGGTATGATGTCACCATCATCCTCCTCCTGCCATGCTATGGGCTTGTTTAGCAGAGATAGTCATCCCACATTTTCAGTCTTTAAAGCTGTGCTAAACTCTGCATTGTATCAAAAAAAATTGACTTTCTAAATGTCCATCTTAAATACATACGTAATTCTTACTGCCACAGTAACTCCAATGACCTCAAAAGTTTTGCTTTGTGGGAAGGAAAAAAAAATACAGCTTTGTACCCAGGGAACTGAGACAAAATCAGTTCTCCGAACCATATCCAAACCACAGAATCGCCTTTGATGAGATGAGGTTATTTTAGTTGGAGGGTATTTCTCTCTGCCCAGGTTTTGCTCCCAATTTGTCACTTTGATTTCTGTTTTGACTTCCTATTCCCGTTTACTACTTTTGCAGATTCTTCAACTAGTTTGACAGAAGGAAGCTGGTGATTTTCTTTACCCTGCAGGCTAAAATAAATTGAACTAACCAAAGGCTCCTATGATATCTTTGAACTTCTGTGTTTTTGTTTTGTTGGGTTTTTCTTCCTGGAAAAACTAAGCAAAATTATTCACAGCTGATAGAGAAATGGGGCTGTTGATTCCAGTAAACACTATGTGTGCTAGCAGCTGTGACTTGTTTTCAGTGCAGCAGAGATCAAGCAAAGGAAGCTGCTGCTATTCCGACTATTTGTCATATTAGGAAACATAGGAGTCATTTGCTCAAAAATACATTCAACTCCTATAGCAGCTGCTGGCTACAGTAAAACAGGGAATATGTTTTGTTTCTTCTCTGAAACTTGCCTACTTTGATGCATTATTGCCATGCACAGAGACTGACGAAGTGCTGCCAGAAGATGTAGGAAGCAATGGCCTAGTTCTGCCAGCTTCACTTTCTCCATGTGCACAGCCATGGTACCCGAGCTCCTCACTGAAAGGGCTCTAGCAGTGCCAGCAAGAATTTGGGATTCCTTCTCTCTATAATATCCATAATATATGCAGACCATCTTCCCATTAGAGCCACTGTGAACGTCTGAGGATGAGCCTGCCAGTAGCTACAGCCATCGCCTGGTTTATCCACCCCACAGTGCTCAGCTCAGCATCCTTCCTCTTCCCAGCACAGCACTTACCAGCCTCTTCTTGTCACCAAGGTGTGATTAAAAAGGAGTCCTAAGGATTTGTATTGCTTGCAAACTAATCCCAAATCCAAAGAAAGATCTGAGAGACTTGAGGAAAAAAAATGGACACACAATTTTTTTCCTATTCAATCACAAAGTATTTTCAGCCAAGCAAGCAACCCACCCTCCAAAGAACCAAATCCTTACTCTGATCAAGGAGAGGTGCATGAAAGTGACTTCAAGAGCTGGACCTGCATCAAGACCATATTTCTTATACAAGACAACAGCTGTCATTTATGAATTTTATATTAGAAAACAATTTCTTCTTATCATCCATTTAAAGCCGAGATTGCCTGGTCCATATTTAACTATGGTACTCTTTTTCGTTTTTTGTAGCCCAGTGCATTGCTCCTCTGAACAATCTGTGGTCTTCTAGTTCCTTTAAAGCTGAAGCTTTATTTTCTTGGGATAGAGAATGAAGCCAATTTTAACATTTCCTGAAAACAGAGATTGAATGCCTTTCTATATAACTGCATAGCAATTTTGTGGATTAGACTTCTTTATGAAATACCACATTTGATTGACTTTTCTGATTTGTGCCACATTTATTTTGTATTATCTATGCAAAACAGTATGATGACAAAAATATGGTAATCAAATTACTCTGTAAATATACTTCCTCTTAAGATGTCACAACTATGAGATGTATGTAAAAAAAACTTAACTTGCAAAAGAAAATCAGATACAGTAACTAGGCAGAATCAACCCATGCTTTTATTTCCATTGCATATAAAAATTTCATATGAAGGTATTGATGTACAGTACTATCCCATAGGCTGTAAGAGAGGCTAAGAAACCAGTGAAAGAATAGTCATGTGCAATGTTCACACAAATTGCCACTCTCAAGACATACCCAAAGGAAAAATCAAATTAATAACAAAAAATTGTTCAGGATTTCTGTTGTTATAGTGTCCCTTTTATACCATTTAAAACACAAAGCAGTCGATTTCCTTTGGGCCAGGGCTGCTAAAATCTACAGTTTGTGTCAAAAAGGAGGCTCTATTTTTCCTTGAAAAAGAATCTCTCCTTTCACAAAGAAGTCGCATGCTACAAGGGCTGGGCATCGCTGGAATGGAGGAGAGGTATTTACCTCACTCTGGCAAATTCATTGACATCAGCTCCGGAGCAACATGACCAGTCAAACAGCAAGAGATGCTCAGTCCAACCCGCAAGCCTAATACTAGTGTTATTAAAAGATCTAAGGGTTTACCACTGTCCTGTAGATCTAGTGCATTATGCTATACACAACTGTACAAAGCCTTAGATACATCTATATAAAATAAAACTTTGGCTGCTGCTAATACTACTGTTGGTGTTGGAAAGCATTTCCAAGATTAAAGCTGCTTTCTGTCCTACTTTGTGGATTCTGCTTATACAGTGATAAAGTTTGTGCTACTAAATAAAGAAGGGATATTACAGATGATTGTAAAAGTATATGAATTATACTGTTCTGATTATTCCATTTCCCAACATGCATTAAAATCAAATGCTTTTTAGAAATGCTTTCCAAAGCTGTTTCAGTGTAATTCAGTACTGAAATACAGCATCAGTTTTTTGGGGGGAGGTAGGGAGGGAGACAAAAAAATGGCTGCAATAATCCCTGATGATAGCCCGTAAAAAGATAATCAAAGAGGCAATATGATTTTATTGCCAGAAGTCTGGAAAAGCTTGAACTTCTAGTAGGGTCATGAATGAAAGCTCGTTGTAGTATCATGCATATTAGCTTGTACGAGTTAACCCATCAGTTAGCAACTAAAAACACAGTAGAAATGCCCAGCCCTAGCCCCACAGCTACCTTACTTTCAAATGCAGCAAAACAGAAGAAAATATTGTTAAAGTTAAGGCACAGCCCTGGGACCAAAGACCTGCAGCTGTTTTTTTTATCGATATATCTTTATGTATTTTATACTTTTCTTGAATCTTCCATAAACAAGCTCTAAGGTGACATTGAATATATTACAGGAGAAAAAATGTACAAGGAATATGTATACACAATTATCATTCTCTCACCAAGAGTTTCCAAATATAGCAACACCACCCTGACAAGGATGATGTTATAATAAGAACTGATAATTTACAATTAACATTACAGTATGTACATTACAATAAATACATGGTTGTAAACAGAGACAAACAAGACTGTATTACAGGTAAGGTCATTTGGTGAGAAAAATGCATGGCACAAATAAAATAAATAATGCATTTGAAAAGAACTGTCAAAGCTTTCTGTAAAATCCATTTCATTCAAGTTTTTAAAACTTCTGAATGCTATTTGTTCTATCTATATTCTTTCACTATCATTTTTAATGACACAAAACAATTTAACAATTCAAATACAGCATTATTGAGTACAGTAACTTGCAAGCTAAAGTGTACTGTTACAAGCAAGGTGAATTTTCTTTTTTCCCCCCACTCAAAACGCACTCACTGCATTTTCTTATGGCAAAAATATTCAGAACACATAAAGCCACTTGTAAATTGTATTGTTTTAAAGCAGTGTGCAATGCTAAAACACACTTTGGCAAACGACGAAAAAAAAAGATTGTACAGTGCATTATATCCCCATTTCTGCATTATATCCCCATCTCTAAGAAATGATAAATGTCTATTATTTGATTGTCCACATGTATGGATGTATATCTCACAATACGGTGTTACTCTTTTCATTTACCTTCAATTAGTGCAGATACAAAACCTTTTCAGTTCCTATTGGTTATTTTGGAATTTATATTGCTTTTCCATTAGTAAGGTTCCAGGCACTCGGGGAATGAAAGGATTTTTAGATGGATCAGGTGCAGGAAGAAACGATGAAGAACAAAAAAATGGTCAAAAACTGAAAAAACACGAGTTGTCTTCATTCTCTTTCCTCCTTCAGCATCTTCTGTGCTAAGGTCCTGTGAGGGCTAAAGGTAGAAAAAAACTATGACCTGTATCTAGAAGAATGCAAAATCCATTTAAAAACTGAATTATTAGCCAAACAGGTTTTCATTCTAGATCTCAGACAGTTAAAACAAAACATCTGTATTCATATCTGCAAATTCACTACAAAATGAATCCAAAGGGGAAATAACTGCTCTTGCTCTTCTTTTGTTCAGAAATCACCTTGACACTGTCATTTTACAGTGGGAGCCTGCTAGCTTCCCTAGGCAACTATTTCCCATCATCTACACTAAAAACTACTAAAGAGTAAAGTGGAGAAAATAAAATTCCTCCTTCTTTCATGTGACCCAACAACTAGGCTGGAAAATCTGGAAAATGACAAATATGAACTCCTGCCTCCCTTTAACTTTCCAAGTTACATAAGCTTTCAGTACCAATCAAACCGAAAAACAGGATTCCTTCAGCACAAGCTGGATAAAGGATGAAAAGATCTGAGATTGAAATAATGTGGAGTATACTACAACTCTCATGATGCATTGCTCATTTACTTAAAAACATAAAAAGACAAGACTGATCTGGCTCTTCTTGCAAAGACATGAAAAAAAAATGCTGATCATTATTTTTATGTTGTACACATCTTAGATTAACAAAGGATTTAACTAGATAGCTGACACTGATAAAAAGTTATTAAGAGAGTCAGAACTGGAACTATTACACTAATGCTTTTTTCACTAGAACAAATATTCTGTACTTTGTTCTAGCCTCTTCTGATCTAGCATTCTATAGCTCCCAGCCAAAAATGGTCAGGAAACTGTGTTTCAGAGGGACAATTTTATTAGTATAGCAGAAGAGCTGCTTATGTATTAAGATAACAATTACATTAACTTTCTAATGGGCTCTAGTCCTGCAAATCCTAATCGTAGTGATTAGGATTTGTCCCAGTGAAACCAACTGGGACTACTTCCTGTCGTAAAACAGAATTGGCAGGACTAGGCCACTATGAAGGCAAAAAGCATAGCCTAAATTCCTCTAATACATTTGGGGAAATTATGGTAAAAACAAAAAAAAATAAGCCATCATACTGAAAGACTTTTCAGTAATATGGAACTCACTAATATATAAAATAATAGACATTTACAGCTGAATATTACCATGAGATTCTATGGGGAAAAAAAAAAAAAAAAGTAAGAAAAGGGAAAAAAAAACCCTAGAAGTATTATCCAGTGTAGCACAGATTTGTACTGAAAACTTGCAAGTTACTCTTTGGAAAAAAATAACCAGTGGCAGATGAAGCCTAAAACTGTTTTTCTTTAAATATAATACCTTGGTACATTTAATAATAAAAGTAAGCTCTACAAAAGATCTCTTTTACATATTATACAAAATGCAGAGGTTAGTGCAACCCACTGGGTCACACTTTTTTCAGTCACGTATCAGGAAGACTTGAAATTAGAAAATTACGCAATTTCCACAGCTCATCTTCCTATTGGTAACAGAATCATGTTGTGGCCCATCATTTATGTGCATTTATTTTCCCGCAGGGACCTCAGTTTATTTTCTGTCTGTTTCCTCTCATGATGAATATTTTCCAATGCTTTGCTTGTAAAATACAATGAATTCAAAAACTATCAAAGCATACCAGCATTCGTTTTGCAGGTGGTACTCCTCTGAAACATTTGCTTTATTGACTCAAATCTGCCAAATGGAGAGCTCATTAAAGTGTAGTATATGGAAGTTCTCCCCTCTGTTTTCTGGTGCCATGGAGGTGAAAATTCTGGTTACAATATTCCTGAGTGCCAAACTGAGTCATCAAGGTCAGTTTTGATCAACAAACGTCCTGGCAGATGGCAGCGAGTTGTGACCATGGTTGTAGCATATGACATACACTTGGAAACCATTACCTATTAAAAAAACCAAAAACAACCAAAAAAACAAGAAGAAGAAGAAGAAGAAGAAGAAGAAGAAGAAGAAGAAGAAGAAGAAGAAGAAGAAGAAGAAGAAGAAGAAGAAAAAAAAACAAAAACAAAACCAAAAAAAACACAGAAAGAAGGAAAAGAAAGAGAGAGGCCAAGAGAGAAAGAGATTGCGTCTTCATTGTTGTGTGTTAGAAGAATGGTCTTCTACCACACAAGGTTCTGCCTGGTTCTCCTCTTCTTCCACTTCTTCCCCTACTTGCTCATCAAGAGGAATTTCAGTGGATTCTGAATCCTGGGTGCAAAGAGTCTTGGAGTCACTGCAGCTGGTGTCTTCTTCTACTTGACTTCCACTGTCCTTTTCGGTGTCTGACTCACCGTCTTCTTCCAGTGTAAGTTCAAACTGGAATTTTTCAGTTTGGCCCTGCCTACCCTCTTCCTGGTCATCAGGTGCAGGAGAGGGACTTTGAGGGATTGTGCTCTGGTACCATTCTCGATTGTCCTCCAGTGTATCTAAGATATCCTGGGCATCTGGGTGAACAAGATCTGCCCATGTCTCCCACAGAGGATGAACAATGTAGTCTATAAAGCCCACCTGTGACAAAAAATACAAAATTAGGATGAGCTCTTATTCACAAAGAAATAAATAACTATGCATATAAAGTCATGCAAAGCGTAAGAAATACAATGCTAGTAAGAGACACTAAATGCACCATTACCCTTAAAGGGGGCTGAAAGGAAACCATGCTGTTTCATGTAGTAAATAGATTCTTTTACATTTCAAAAGTCTGATTCAGGATATTGGATAAAGACTTGGAAAGAATTTGTTTTCAAATGAACTGTTAATTCCAAACAACTTCACTGCATCTAGTGGAGCCAAAGTGCTGCTCTATATATCAATTCTGCTTTTGAAGGAAACCCTAATGAGCAGCTGTACAATACTCTCTTTTGACGTGTATGCTACATTGCAGGTCATGACAGCAACAGAATCTCTTCAGCAAACACACTTCCATGTACTAAGTTTTCACAGTAAAAATCTCAGCTCCCCTCACTTACTACTCAGGAGCTGAATCAGCTAACTAGGAGGAAAAAAAGAAATGGTGAATTCAGACATTAATCAAAACATGGCTATGGACCATCCTTTTCTGTTAAAATGTCATACCATGTTATTTAACTGCCTACTCAAATGAATTACCTGTGATTTTTCTACAGATGCATTGTGCTTATCACACATAGGACTTATCTCCATTCCCCTCTCTCTTTCCCGATCTCCCTGACGGAAAAATTCCTCCATTATTCTGTCTGTCCATTGGCGGTAGAGATGGAGTGGCTTGGTTGGATTGCTCAGATCTGCACAGTGCACCATATTCTGAAGTACCTAAAATAGATCGAACACCTGCGGTGTTATTACACTGGAGAAAACTGACTCCTTTTCCATTTACACTTTTGGTAGCTGTGAAACAGAATCTTGAAAATACATGTACTGTAAGATTTAGTCTAAACAGCAAAAACGTATATGCTTTGGTATTTTTCACACTTGCAGTATTAGCCATGAATTGCGTCTGATGCTTCTGCCTGTATAAGCCACAGGAAATCTTTGAGAGAAAGACCAATCAGGTGCTGATAACTTGAAGAGAACTTGAAGCCTCCTTTAGTCCAGAAGTACTCTGTCACCTCATTACTCTCTCAAGAGAGTCACTCAGTACCTAACAGAGTATGTCACAGGTAGGAAACATACAAGGGAGTCTGGGAAGGTAGTGAGTCATGGTGTGAGAACTGGCGTCTGGAGAATGGGCAGGCCAATGTTATTAAGGATGGGAGTTAATATCAGTGACCATTTGCAGATGAATTTTCTTACCTGAATCCTGTCTGAATAGTTATCGAGAAGCAGGACACCAGAACTGGTCACTTTTTTGGTTTCAACCATAGTTTTTAAGTCAGCCAATAGATTCATATGCTTAGACATGTCTGTTGCAAGTACCTTAACAGAAACAAACACATAAATGAATACTACGTAAAGGATCCTAGTGATTATTTAAAAGAATCTTCGAACACATAAACAGTTCTGGGGGGAACCCCTAACTCCCCTGTCTGAATGCACTACCAAAGTCTGAATCCTGTGTGTTATCAGTGTCCAAAATAGTAGTTTTCATTTTTGTTATTTTAAGAATACAACTAAATGGTTGTTCAGAATGACCTGATCAGCTTAAGTTCATCATCAATTCAGCAGCAAACTTCTAACTGCAATGGTGAAATGGCACACATCAGCACAAAATCAGCTTGAAGTAGGATTGTATACTTTCTAAAAAGGTAGAGATAGTTATTGAAACTGAAAAGAACCCACTATTCATGTTTGGATAACACATAATAAAACTTCAAATTTCAAATTAGATTATGGGTCTAATGACATGTAATTTATCATAAAATGCTTCTGTGCTTTATTATTCTATTTGCTACCACTATGGAAGAGGGACTCAAGCAGAACTCACGATGTCAATGACCATTTTCCTCAATGATTGCCTCTGTTTTTTGGTCAAATTCTGGAAAATGTCACAATTTTCTTCCTGAAGCAGCTTGAAGCCCACAGCTAAGTGATGATTCTCCAGTACTGATGAGTCATTGTACATCAAGGCGAGTTCAGAATCTGCAAAAACATTCACAGGGCAGAATGTTACTAAAGCCTGTGCTTCTACCAAATCCATTACATTCATAACAAAATTTACAGATAAACTTTTAGAAACAGAGTTCCTGTAGTTCACAGAGTTATCAAAAGTTACAGAATTAATGACTGAACATCTTAACAAATCAAGGCAAAGTAGGTTGAGGAAAATAAAGAAAACACTTTGCAGTAAAGCATGTACATGGGCCTGGAGTGGCAAGTTAGGAAAAATACAAGGGAAAAAAAATTCAGAATACATTTTCATATCTGCATGAGGTCACATGGCAAATATTATATGCCTAAACATACCTAAACTAAAACACACTCTGATGTTTTCTCATGCGTGCCTCCATCACAACTACTAGAATTCCACTGTTTAAGTCAAATTGCAGCTATCCAGCACTCAGACCTGGGAAAACAGCAAAGCTCAGGCTTTGCTGGAGGTCAAGCAGAGAGCACAGATCTTGGTTTTCAAACCACATCCTTCTGCAGTTAGCTAAGATACTCAGATGCCTAGCCCATGAGGCCTACGGGCCATTAGTCCGTGAAAACAGGCTATACTGAGAGCAGGCTGGTAGGATGGTAACAGTTAGTTTCTGGTCTTTCTCTTGTAAGGCCACCTGGCTTGAAAAGGCAAGCAGTGGCCTTGCCTACTGCCTCCTACTTGAGGGTGGTCCGTGCCTGATGCTGTAACGCGACCTCCTCCAACCGAATCGCTCTGAGCTCGGTGACTCCATATGGCTGGGAGAATAACGTACACGGCACCCCAGCAATGCCTCTGCTACAGCACACGTGCCAGGCCTGCATTTCTCTGCTTACACCTGCTGAACAGCCAGCTCTGACAAACAGAAGCAGTTTCTCTGCACAGCTCTCTAGCTTCTACCCGGGGACACTGCACAGTCAGCTTATGTATGCTTTAAGACACAGCTTGCAAATGAATCTGTCATAAAAAAAACAAATACTTTTTTATGCAATCACACTTGTCATGTGTGATATTAGCTTCTATTTATTACAACTGTTTTATTCTACATCTAACCATATGTCAGTCTATTCTACTCTTTGTCCTCTTTATCTTCTTTTACAGCAGCTTTGTTTTAAAATCCCTCTGGCTCAGTGGGGTGCCTATAAAAGCTCTGCTCTTCAGATTTCATTAGTCTCATTATCCATTCTCCTGCTGTCTTCCTCTCCTGTCGTGAACACATCGAACTTCTGAGTCAGGAAACCCTTCCTCTACCTCTCCTTATCCCAATGGTAGCAAAACCGTAACAGGAAACAAAAAGAAAGCGAGTTTGTCAAATTTTCATCTTTCACAGAACATTTACAAAGCTTCCCTACTTGTTATTTTTCTTACAGAGACAACAGGCACTAGCTTATTTTCCTTTCAAACAGCCTTCTGATGAGCCCCAACTGCAAAACACTTAACATTGCCAAAATGCTTTGGAAGGGCTGGAGCTACAGTCAGAGCTAAAATGTGCTTAACCTTGTAATCGAAGTAAAAATGGAAGAAATTTCCCCCTTGGTAATCTCTGTAACACATTACAAGCTTCAAGAGAATTTTTCTGGAAGGACAGAGTTACAGTGATGAAATAAGCATCTCCTCTGATGCTTATTTGTTCCTTAACAGCATTCAAGGGGCATCAGATTTTTAGTCAAGTGTGTAGTGGAGTTTAAAATCCTTAAATTGGGAAATAATATTCAGAAATATCACGTGAGTAGTTATAAAAAATAAGCTAAAATACGGCAAATATGTACATACTTTAAGTCTATTATGCTTTTTAAAAATGTATTCATACACTTCTTAATGAAATGTTAGTACATTGTAAGGTCCACTGGAAAACAGAACCAGGTGGAAGCAAATGATCTTCTAGACATTAGGAAAATTTAGGAATTGAGAGACCTAAATTAGATGGTCTTTATTTCTGTCTCTGTTCCTACAGTTTCTTTGTTGTACACAGAAGAACTCGAAAGGGATAAAATCCCTTTGTCTCTTTCAGCTTGGCAACAGCAGCTCCAGTTAGTGATGTTACTTGATTGACACTGCAGCCTTCTCTATCAAAAGCTGAATTGAGAAAAACAAGACATTTCTTCTAAGACACTAAATAAACAGCATCAGAATCACTCCTAACTTAGCTGAATTTCAACTGCCTGCCTAAAAGTGAAAGCTCTATGTATCACTACATAGTGATACATACGCCATCACTATGGTACCTTCAACTATCCAGTCATCTTGCTTAAACCTGAACACTCAGTGGCTTCCCTGTAGCACCTCAGAACCAATATATCTTGAGATTAATTTTCTGATTAAACAATCAAATAAAAACTTTACTTACATATGCCCACTTTTAAGAATTTAGGTATTACATACTGGTTTTATGTACAAAGCTTGATCCACTCTCTTCCTATACCATGCTGCAGAACGGTACTGGTTACCAATAAACCACCAGAAAACTAAAGTCAATCCTAATCCTCCTCCATGCAGATGAGTCATCAAATTAAATTTCACTATAGGGTGGCCTTTAGGGCATTTAGGCAAATGAAATGAGATGCAGGCTAAACTGGAGTGGAGGTCTTATTTGAATGTACAGCAGCAATGAGTCAGAAGAGGAGCTCCCTTCTTCAAACTACACTGCTGATTTGGGGTCATGCTATTTTCATACCAGTGCAATAGATTCACCCTGGTGCAGGAGTGACAGCATCTATAAATATTCAACCAGATGGGTCAAATACACAACCCTAGGTATGTTTGCATTTCCGTAGCTTTTTCTCCTTACGTGCTTCGATTACTAGTATTATTTCAACTTTTGCACTTCTGGGTCAGTTAATGTAAAAGGACAAGTTGTCATATGGCAAAAGAAGTCACGTCATATGATGGAACTTGCACTGACTACAGTGTGCTGCCCACTTATAACAGTAACATACACTACTGACACCACAGCGCATTACAATGGGGCAACAAGCCCCAGTCATGATCAGGATTAACGAAGCAAATAGTGTTTTTTTCTAGTGGAAGACTAAAGACAAGGGAGAGATTCATGCAATGCTGCAGAGAACAGCCTTGAGGCATGAAGAACAAGTACACTGGGTTTCACATTTGAAGATGACATTAGGGTCTTATGATTCATTAGGGCTTTTTCCCTCTTCACATGGAGTGCCAGCAAGGGAGTCACAAAAAAAAACCAACCAAGCCCCAAGAAAAACAGAGGATTGCCATGGTCTGCAGGGACAGGCTATGAGAAAATTCAGTCTACGAGGTATGAGTATGCAGAGATCTGAAAACCAGAACAGCAGCCAGCAAGACACAGATGGGCCTGCCAGTTCATTTGCTGAAAAGAAACTTGTTTTCTGAATGTCTTAAAAGTGTATGGCTATCTCTGGTTCACCATATGCTTCCAATATAGACAAATAAACTGTTGTCTTCCTTTTTTTGATTTTTATTTAATCTTCCTTTACTTTTCTCCTACAACTTTATTTATTTAGTGTAAATTATTTCTAAAGTTACAAGAAATGCAAAATAATACACAGTTTAAAACACAAACACCTATCTATTTACTGAGAAAAGTTACAGATAGAAGCCAACAAGGAATGAACTGTGCATTTTTCAGGTGCTATACGCCGATCTTGCAGCAAATTTTTGAGAAAACCACTAAACATCAAACTTACTTGTGTTGATAAGGAACTGGTTTGAAACCCCAGGGTGATCTACGTCATGTATTGCACTGGCAAAAATTGCTGCAAGAATCTCCAAGTCAGTGAACACTGCCTAGAAAATCAAGAAACAGAAGTGACGATCACTAATCAATGAAAAAGTGTTTTCAATAAAAAGGACTCTACTTTGAATCTAGATTTGAACAAGCAAAACACACTTGAAACGTATCAGGGATCTCAAGAGACTTTACACATAGTCTATCCCAACCTCTTTTAAAATCTGTTATGTAAGATTTCATAAATATTTCAAGTTTGGTCAAAGTAAAATGATCCTTACTTCACACTGACAGCATCAATAAACTCTGAAACAACTGATGTATTTTCAGCTTCAATCTGTGAATAAATCCACTTTTATTAAAGCATTAAGTTTCTAACTACAGAACAAACTGAAGTTAAAAATTTCAGCCTGACTCCTACTTACTGTTCTATACTTAAAAGATGCACATCTCCTAAATGATGCTACAGGAAATGGTGAGAGACTACAAGGCATCTTACTTAACATTTACTGATTTTTGTCCTGTATGAGATCATTAGGAAGATAGGAAGAAAGGACTGCAATGGAGCTGGCATGTCACTGAGCCCAGTCCCCCGTTGTCACAAGCCCCCACATTATATAATTGCTTTCATAATTGATCAAGAACAGCTAAGAAGTGTGTAGGGTCAACAGTGGCAGTGGGCAGGCATTGCTATTTTACTGGCTAAAGATCTGCTGGGAACAAGGCTATGAAAAACAGTTGATGTGGGAAAAAACAAGTCTTTGAGGATTGAGACCTGCCAACAGTCTCAAGGTCCACTTATACCCTCTTTTTAGGAAGAAGGTAAAGCAGAAACATTCAATAACATAAAAGATTGGTCATTTGGAAATACTGTCAAAATGCATCCCTCCTTGAAAATGAGGGCAAATCCTTTTGAACTACTAAAATTTCAACTGCTTGCTTTATCTGCCTTCTCCCAACAATTTACTGGGATATATCAATGTTTGCTATACTAAGACCTGAATTGTGCTTAAAAAAGGGAAAGTAATCTCTGTCTTTCTTCCACCTTCTTCTACTTCAAAAATTTAAGCACTTTCAACAAAAGAATTCCTCAGAAAAGAACATATGAAATGTTATATTTTTCAAAAAAAATTTGAAACATTTATAAAAAAAAAAGAAAAAGAGATAATCCAGTGAAATTTAGTACATGTTCCACTCTGCCTGAGAAACCAACATGAAAGTAGGCTTTCAGGACCAGAATAAATATGCCCAAGAAAAAAAAAAACAAAACACAAAAAAACAAATAACAAAAGGTCCTATTGAGGCAGTCCCATTTTATCACTATCTTTCCTAAGCAATTCCATGAATTGTGGTTCGTGAGAATCCCACACGGGGAAATGCAGACAGAACAGGATATAGTATCAATAACAAGATGGTGGAAACAAGTTATGGACTGTGTTACAATGAAAAAGGTCATGACAGCACAAATCTGCATGATTTAAAAGAAGATGTGACATTTTCTGCACGATATTTACACGTAAATAAGTTCTCATCCTCCTTTAAAATAACAGAATTAATGGAAGAAATGTCAAGATTTCTTTTACAAATACTGCAGAAACTAGGGTCTTCAATATTTAGTTTAGAAGAGTCTTAGTACGTCCCTTTCTCTCATGCCTGCCTCTTTCCCACCCCAATTACCTCTAATGCCGGGGTTGACAGCAAGACATGCGTTGACTGAACAACATCTGCGGCGTGTATGTTATTGTGATACGCCACGTCTGCATGGTAATGGTCTTCCAGGGTCATCAAGTAAGTTATTAAAGTATCTACTGGAATCTTAAATGTTTTCAACAAGTCGCGTTCCTAGAGAAGGAAAAGAGAAACGATTAAGATTACAAAGCACAGAAAAATCTCTAAGACAACCAAAAAGCAGAAGAGCTGCTGCTACTTGCCTGAAAAATGGTGTGCATGATGACTGTCAAAGGTCTGTTTCCAGATAACTCTGCTACTCTGAAAACCTGAAGGCCCCATTTGTTCACATCCTCTAGTTCCTAGAGCAAAATCAAATAACAGACACATTGAAACCCCACATGCAAATTCCAGCAATTCAAACCTTGCTGCTGTGGAAGTTACACGCTAAACTCTGGAAAGGGAAAAGCTGCTGCTACTAATCTTGCAATATTTGAATTTGCAGCTACCAACTTTTCAGATCTTAATTCACTAGGCAGAAAAGACTGCCTCTTAAGTGGGTTGCTCCAGCGGGAAAAATACTACAGTATCTTGAACGAACTGAACTGACCCACTTTGCTATCTCACTGCCCAGTGACAGCAGAGTTCAGCAAGGAGGAAACCTCCAGAGATGCTGTAGTTCTGCTGCCGCCTCCCTGGTTCTCAGAAACACTCTTCAAATAAAGGGGGAGATTCCTGAAAACATAAGGACAGGCATATTTCAAAATGCAAACCACTGACGTTAAATGCCTAATCACTTTAGGCCAGTTTTAGATTATGGCCAAGTAGTTAGCTGCTGGTGCAATAATCATAGGAAATGTCACCAAAACCAAGACCACCCATGATGTCGGTAAAATGATACAGCAAAAGACAGGACCTGGAAGGATAGCTCTAGTGCTATATACCAGTTGTGCATTTTCAAAGAAACCATAGGACTGCCATATATTTCCATTCCTGTGACAGCATAGGGTATGTTTACTCTTCACTCTTCAGACTATGAATCCACTGATTATGTTTGTTGAGGAATAAGCAGCTTTATTACTGCATACAGAAATGATAATTTACATTCCATCTCCTGCTGAAATTCCGGTCATGCGGAAATTAACCCTTGTGGCCTAATTCTTATTTTACTTGTTATTCTTCCACTTCACCAAATTTATATTATTTCAAGTGAGACTAGCCTTTGGCACTACAGCTTGAAACTAATGGTTATAAGCAGAGAATGGAATAATACTGACAAGTCACCTCTCTATTTTAATTCATTAGCTTAAATTCCAGGATTTACATATTCTCTACCTTGGCAAGAACATCTTCTTGGTCTGTTTTAACTCCAAATCTCGGGATACTGGAATTAGTTAGGCTGGAGCTGTGCATCAGTTTTTTGACTCCACTGATCTGGGACATTGGCCTCTTCTTTTTCTCTTTCTCTTTCTGAGTTGGAGAGGGGATTTCAACTTCATGCTGTTTATCTTCAAAAGAACGAAGAAAAAGAGAATAATTTTTAGAGGAAGCACAAATATTACATAATGCACAGCTGAGTTGCATCTTATGGGTATTGTAATTCTTAACAAAACCTTTTTTATTTTCATGTTTGAAGATTTTGCAACAGATACTTCATATCAAAAGCAGTAAAACCATGAAAAAATAAAAATAGACCTATACCTCAGTATAGGGAGATCTGTATTTCACAAATTGTCTCATTATTTCTGATCTGGCTTTAAATGTGACTTGTGACTGCCTGATTTCCACTTCTCCTGCACCCCTAGCACTGTACACAGGGTCAGTCCTTTCATTATAAAAATGTTATAACTGAACAGAAACCTAAACCTCCATTTTGCAAGAACATCTAAAATTTCTTCTTTTCCAGCAAACGCATTCTCTGAAATGGTGTTCCAAAAACAAGCATCTCATGTAAACCTTTACAAAGCGTTTTCAGGACTTGAAGGACCTAGTATGTGGGGACTGGTCCTGTTTGTGCTAAGACTCTGCAGAACTCAGAAAGCCTTTTTCCAGCCACATCTACAAGTACTTTTGATGTAGAGGCGGCTCCTGCCAGTAATGCAGGGCATTTCTGCACCTTCTGGAAAACCAGGGTAAGTAGTACTGACAAAAGGACTGATGCTAAAACCCAAAATTTTGCTGTGGGCTTTTACCTCTATAGCAGTATCAGTGCCATCACTTCATACACCTCCTCAACATATGTGCCAGCAAAACTTCAGGCAAGGATTAAACTGAGAGTATATTTAGGCAATTGATCACTACGGGGATGAGGAGCACTGTAGATCTCTGTGGTCCCCAAAGAAACCCATGTTAGTGCAACAAAGGATTCTTCTGCCAAAACGGCTTGGAATTTGCATTAATTTCTGTTCTTTTTATTCGTACTGTATTTCACACAGTTTTAATGACTCCCTCCAAATTATTCCTTCTTTTCTGAAATGAACCTGCACTTTTTCTAGTACTCAAGGAATATTCCAGCAAAACTAGGAAAATCCATAACAGATGTTTCTAGTGTAGGAGCCTAGCAAAAACTACAGTTTAAATAGCACCTTAGAGCAAAAGACATTAAAAAAATAATAATAAATTGGGCTCTTTAAAACATGTCTATTTTTTCCTTCCTGAAACAGTTATTTTCAGTAAAGACACTGAAACCAGACAGGGGTAGCAAGTCCATTTCTAATTACCAGATTGTTATTGCGTTTGCTTCTTCACTTTCTTTCTTTTTTCCATTTTTTTTTTTTTTTTCAATTACCCTTTGGCCATCTTTCCACTATTTTTTTAAGTTAGTGTTGGTATATTCGAATGTGGTTTTGATTTATCATGCTCATAACTTCAAAAATTATATAGAACCAGAAATCTATGATTGATTTTTTTTTCCCTTTTTTTTTTTTTTTTTTTCAATTACCCTTTGGCAGCCGCATTTACTGGACACCTCAAATTCCAAACAAATCACAGTGAAGAAGAGACCGTGGAAATGTCACCAAGCTTTAGCCTGCGGCACCTTGTTCCCTGATTGCCCCTGCCATCCTTCACCACTCTCCACACAGGGACCATCAAGGAAAGGGGGAGGCAGGGCGCTGCAGCTCTTGACTGGTGCAAACCGACAACAGATGAGGAGCAGGGGCTCATGTTCCTGCTTTGATGTTTATGATTTCAGTCATATGCACAAAGCATAGACCCATCAAAGGGAGGTTGGTAAGCTGAGCTGTCAGACTAACTCAAGTGAAAGGAAGTGTCTGTCTGAACGACTTTAGATCTCCGGAGGGATTCCATGGGGCTGCCTCTGCTTTTGTAACTAGGAGCTCACAGGGCAAAGGATCCTGTGCCCATCTGAACATCCAGAAACGACAGCTTGCCATTCTGACCCTACTTGTGCTATGCTCATAGGCAGGTTCTCTTACATTTTCCCTTAATAGGAAAACAGGTTAATGACACCGAAAAATAAAAATCTTGCATATTATCATACATAATGTCGGAGGCTTAATTCTTACACATTGAATATACTTGTTGTCATAATGGATAACTTCATACATGTCTTTTAGACCTACTTGGGAAAACAGTCCTTTTTTTTAAGAAAAGAATGGAAACCCCGGTTTTCTCATGACATGTTCCTAACTTTCAAACATGAGAAAGTCTCTGGATGTTCAGGAGATAGATTATGTATTAAAAATGTCAGCTAACTGGACTCACTAAGGTTTTCTATGGAGTGAATATTTTACCTCTTCATATTCCTCAGAACCTATACACTTAGACTGCATGTTTTGAAAATAATCTATTTAAGCAACAGTTCTGTAGATTAAGTGTCTTCTCTCTGTTGTATCGCTCTTGGAGCTACAATTTTAAGTATCCTAGTTTTTCATGCAGCCACAAAGCAGTACCCATGGCTCCATAACTTAAAACTAATTGCCTTTCCAGTCCTCTTTCTGCTCAAGACTGAGGTCTCATGTGAAAGGCTGACAGATGCATTTCCTTACCCTGTCAAAATGAGCCTTAAGTTTTCAAGTAAAAGCAAGCAGAAACTGGTATCTTAGTCTTTTCAGCCTAAGTGGGTCATCTTCTCAGGCAACCGCCCACTGTGACTTTCAGGGCTCCTGGAGCTGTGCAATATTGCTTCTCCATGACAGAGGCTCATCCCTCTTTTTATTGTCTGAAACCCTGCCGTGCTGCAGTGCCCAGGCACGCTGCTGCAATCATGGGTAAACTGAACAGACACGTTAAGCCATCCACGTAGGATATGGTGACAAGCAGGATAAAATGTACTTGAAATAAACCCTGCTTCTTAAGAAAAAAACAATCAAAAAAAAAGCCCCCCAAAACAGAAAAAGCATCAGCTATGGTATAACACAGAAATAAAACAAGATGTATCTTAACATGTATGACTGGCTCCTTTTGAAGTTCTTGTTATCCTAATTTTGATGTATTCAGCTGTGCTTCCACTTATACACACTGTCTTTACGAACCAATGGTGTTTTGCTCAAAAGACGATTGAGGCTGGTATATTATCTTTATCTTCACATTCAAATTCAACAGTTTGGAACCAAGTTTTATGAATTTTCACCAGTTTTAGCAAAAAATAGGTACACCTTCTTCTGCAAAGCACAGAGGAGGAACCATGCTCTGTAATACTGTGTTGGGCTTTTTTTAATGCTCGCATCCCACCATGCCAAGCTCTCGAGCCACACAAATTCTCCTGGCAGCAGTCTGTTCAGATGTTGACTCAGTGATATTCATCCACCCATTCATGTGCAGGCAGGGAATACCAAAGCATCAGAACTGTGTGCTATGAGATTTTTATGAGGTCACTTGTGCTTGTGTGCTTCCAGCACACTGAAACCTCTTCGCAGTAACTTTCATACGGGAAACAGAGTGGAAGAATTATTTTAAATATATAATTAATTCATTATATATTCATTTCTTAATATGGTAGCAATATAGTATTTGTAACGTTACATGAAAATATTTATCTGTAATTGCACACACAGGGAAACCACACACACAGACTAATTGAGCTGTGGGGAAATGTATCTAACATGATCTCTCTGCTCAAAGACCAAACAGTAAGATACTAAATGAACCATTTTTGAAAACATAAATTAACATGAAAACGACTTGCTTTTAAGATATATCACTGCCCAGAGAGAGATTTAAAAAAAAAAAAAAAAAAGGCAAAAACTGTAACTCCCATCGTCTTACCTAAGAATGTGTTCGATATATACTCTGAGACCTGATTGCCTGACCTGCTCATTTCAGATAGATGGGTTAGCTCCCGGTTGAGCATTCTTTTAAACTGGAAAACAAAACAAAACAAAACAGCACAAAGTTAGCAATCAAGATGTATTTTAGTTGATAAGAAAATGCAGTCAATTTACAATTGGTGAAAGGGCATGACATTAAGAATAAAGCAAAAATCACATGTAACATTGCTCTGCCCAACTATCGTATTTGTGGGTCAGACAACATAATTCTTAACCTCCTAAAATACTTCATAGTGATCCAATTACTAGTACACAGGGTCCTACTAGTAAATGAAAACTGTAAGACATATATATACACACAAATAATATTACTGTCTTTTTTTTTTTTAATTTGGAGAGAAAATACAAGTTTATCCACACAGGACTTCTTCTGTAGTAGGGTTCTCATCATATTTGTAAATTAATCTATTTGTGCATTTTTTGCAATTCATTTTGTAGTATTTCACGTTTCTCTTACCTCTTATCATTAACCTACTAAAATATATTTGACAGCACTGCTCAAAATAATCAAAATATCTTACTGATTTCCTACACAGCAATATGAATAGAGGTAGGTTTTGTTGTCTGACTTAAAATTATTATACTGCATCAGCCCAATAACTTGACTGTTCCATAATCCCAGGAAATTGTCAGTATCTGCACGAAACATTGGAGTAGAAAACACCCATCTGTGGAAATGCCTTCCTTTTCCTTCTGAGTTAGCAATTCACACTAGGCACTCTATTGCATAGAGGTGAACATTAAAATTCCAGAAAATGTGCAATTGATTAGGTACTCATCATTGAGTCTTTCTTGATTCCTTCTAGACTGCAGGTTTAAATGATATCTTGTGGCATTGTGTTCGACAGGTTAAGTATATAATACACCTTGAGCATCTTACATGCATTTTCATTGACTATAGCTCTGCCTTAATTTTATCAATGAATAGAACTCAGCAATATCTATTAACAATTCAAACAACTCTTGCCAATGGGAGTTATCATCCGTCACTACTGAATTTTGCCCCCCATTGTGCCATCCCCTTATTTTACTGCTAGATTTCTTAGTCATCTTTCCTCTTAACAAAGCCAAATGATTTGTGCCATTTTCAGAATCATCATTTACCTTTTTCACCCAGTTCTGACTATTTATTGCATCAAGCAATAGCTACCCTTACTATATATCCCTATAAACATTCCTCTATGTTGAAACCAGCAATTTATTTTTGTATATGAGATAAAGCACTGGACTAAACATTAACCACCTCCTTTCCATTGTACTGGAATCATCAAAGCCCTTTCTTCAAAGAGGCCCTGCATAGTGAAAGGTGTTATTTTCTTCCTGATGTCTTCGTAAATCACCAATTACCGTATTTCTCAGTGTGCCAAATAAAAATTACCTTTAATATAAGACTGTAACCATTAGCCACTGCATTTTCCTGCCATCTTGACATGTCATCAGCTCAGGAAGTTTCTGATCTACAAAGACTGAATCCTACTTTACTCAGAAGCCAAAGGCTCAGCTTTGATCTCAAACACAGCCGTGTCCTAGCAAGCGTGCAACACATTTCTGAAAATTAGAACCATACTGCAAATACAGCTGCACATACTATGAGCCACATAGGGCTACATATTCAGCATGAAATCAGTATCAGCTTCTATAGTGAGGTCTGATCTTTGTCGCCAACGCTAAATGTTAAAAAAAACAAGTCCAGCTTGCCAGGCAGTAAACTAATTAGTCTAAAAATCCCAAAAGTATTTTTAAAAGCCTATCTTTAAAGTTTTTACATGCTTAAATCATGCTTGCATGCTTTTTCTTCTGTATGCACAAAGGTAAAAACCAGAATTATTTCAGGCAAAAACTGAAGATCTCATGGAATGGCTTGTCTCCCTATGGTATCCAGAAACTGAAGCTCTGAATTAAAATATTGTGTATAGGAATCTTAATAAAATGTCAGAAGTTGACAAAATCACATTAGCTTCCAGGCATGTCATCAGTATATCCATTATGGCTCAAATATTCTCCCTTAATTTGATCCAGCTAGTTCACCAGATCCCAACTAAAAAGGTCCACGTCTGCCTGATTGTTTCCTAGTAAACCCTTTTTGATGATGCCCGACTTAGCAATGCTGGTTTTGCTGCAGAGCAACACTATCAGGTCATATTCTACACTTTGGACAAAGCCCATCTAGTCACCACTATTGCATACTCTTCAGGAACTTTCCTTAAAAGTTTCCCAGCTTTGAAAGGACAATGAAGTGGTGTTTGTGCTATGCTTTTTCTGTAGCTACCTGACACAACAAATAGGAAGGATTTTTTTTTCCAAATCATAAACTTAATTGTGGGGAGTAGGTAAAGAGAAGGTTTGTTATCGTATACGGGGAATCACCTTGTGGAACTTACGGAGTTCTTTAAGGATTTCCAACTAAATATTTCTTGTATGGATGTCCACAAGAAATGGAAGGTGTATGGTAATCCTTTCTAATGCTATGCTCCCCAATCTTCTGATGCAAAGCCTTGTCTTTCCACCTCCCATTGCCCCATAAGTCGTCAGAACATCAGCATAAAACCAGCAGAACAGTCTGCATTGCTATTGAACATGCATGTACAGTAAAATAAGTTCTCCAGCTTCTGCAAGGCCCTCCTGCTAACACCAAATTCAATGGGAGAAGCCTTTGGCTTTGAAGAACTATAGCAGCATGATTTCCTCATACTCTTTCACATGTTGCTGACGCCACAGCTTTAATTGACATTTATTTTGAAAACATCTGGACGCAGATGTTTAAAGAACAGTTTTGATTTTCTAATTACAAGACAAAGCCTTACGATCATAATCCACATTGAAACAGATTAAGCTGAAGACCACATGCAGACAGAAGTTTCTGATGCAGAACAATAATACTGTTTGAGAACATAAAACCCCCCAAGAACAGTAATCAACATGTTCAGACATTTTTTTTATTATACTCTGTTTCAGTAGATATGTATGTCACTTAATCCTCTGATGTTTAATAACTTTCCTTTGGGCAAAAAAATAACATCTTTTTTTTCTACAAAAAAAATAACCAAAACCAAAGCCCCTACTTTTTCCTGGTTTTACCTTTTTCTCAAAGATTTCATTTGGGCCCAAGTGAACCCATAGGTAGTTGCTGCTTCAGTGTCAGTTTTCCATACATTGATACATCCCTGCACAATTACTTTATGATGAAACTCTGCCTAACTCTCACATGGCTCCCACAAGATCTCATTGCAAATCACGCAAGTTTCTGTTACATCTGTGAGTCAACACTGTTCAGTCATCCAGCAGACACCTCTTAAGTGCTTGAAACTTGGCTAGGCTGTCCATACTGTCCTCTTAGAAATAACATGTAGCACTTTATTCAGAACAAGTCAAACAAGACATGAAACCACCTTGTCACTAATAGTAAATGATAAAGGTAACATTCTAAGTTACAATTTAAAAAATTTGAATGCCATATACCCCAGTTGAAGAAAATCAATCACAATGCATCAAAACTATTGTGACTAAGAAACATTTAGACCATATACTTTTATTATGATATTGTCAGCTCAGCATGGGAAGGAGCAGAGGTTTTTGGCTGATGTACGCATATATTGTATTCTTCCTCAGAAAGAAATATTTTCCCATGTTAAGACTAGACATTGTTAGATTGGAAAAATGACACATACATAGCTCTTTGGAATATCACAACCCTTGACTATAGTGTAGAAAATGTCCCCTAGAAATGTACAGGCTATAAAATGTCCATTAAGCCAACTATACAGTTCTTCACTGCTGAATACCAATGTTACAGCAACAGAAGAGTACTCTCTGAAAAAAATTCTAAAAATATTTCCCTAAACCTAATTTTTTCATTTCGTTTATTTCTATTTATTTTAATGATTTTACTTTCAGCATAGGGGAAGGGAGGAAGAGGGAACACGACCCACAAGACAGGCACAATATTCAAATAACATTAAAAATCTCCCAAAGTGATAAAACTACATGTGCATTTTTACCTCCCTTTAAAAGCCTAGGAAGTCTGATAGAGGAAGAACTGTAATACATGGGAATAAAAGTGCATATGTTGATGAGACAAGAATAGTTTCCTAAATAGTGGTCACTTCTGAAGCACAGACTACTAATGAGGAATTAAGCTTGGTAGTTTAGGTCACTCTGGGCTGAAGGCCAATGTGTGCATATCTCTGCATATATATTACTGCTGTCAACCTAGGATAAATACACATGAGATTTTGAAGAAAAAATGGGATACTTTTCTAATGTCAGCAAAGGTATATAGAAGAATTTAGACAAACACTTGCAGTAACCATGTTCCCAGATGGCAACCAGAGCAATGATACGATTTTGGAAAGACTTTGCATCTATACCAGAAAGACATTTCAAGTTCAACTCTGAAGACAGAGCGAAGACCCAACTAGAGTAAATTTGTACCCATATAAAAGGTTTGGGCTGCATGCTTAATACATATGGGGTTTATTAATTACACTTTAGAACATTTCACATTTATGGCATGAAGCTCTTGCCTCAGTAACAAAAGCTTAAATAAATACGCAACCCGCAGTTAGTGGTGTAGGGAGGGGAAGCATGCAGAACCACCCTTGCTGTAGATGCCCTGTCCTGGTAGGGCCTCTTCCACCCAGGCTTTCTGCTCCTGACCAGGTTACCTGCTGCATCTCAAGGACTGTAAAGAGGCTGCCTCCACTACAACCTTTGGCACCAGCACAGAAGGTAATCCATGGACCAAAAGGCCCCATCCCGCCTGTCCTTCCATTTGAGTGTTAATCACGCTCCGATCCCAGTGGACGCTGGAACCAAAAATGCACCTGAAGAGCACTCTGCACTCCAAAGCACCTGAAGCCTTTTCTTGCACTGGCTCCCAAGCCCACCCCAGCCAATTTCAACCTTTCTGGCTGCTTCTTTACTAGGTAGCATTTCTAAAACTCACATGCATTGAATACATCCATGGAACACTTATTAAATACTTGGAACATTAAACTTACATGACGATATTTTGTTTCTGAAATATCAATGT